AAAAATTCATTCCTTCCTTGATTATTATTATTTTTTGCTTTTGCTTTTATGAACTGGCACCCCACATACACATCTTAGTATGTGAGCAAAAGATAAAGGTGATTCTGGTATCAGTAAAGTCAGAAGCCAGCTTTGTTCAGAGTCCCAGTGTTTTTGTGAAACTTGAGTTAAATCTATTAGACATAAAGCCATCTGAGGAGCCCATAGACAGCACTGTGCCTACAACAAATACTGTGGAATTCATAATAGTTCATTAAGTGAAATTCTGTATCACTTGTAATTTTTCTGTTTTAATATAATTTTCTATTCTATTAAATGAAATAAAAAAATAAAATAAAATAAAAATAGTGCCCAAGTTCAAACAAAAAGTCCAAGTGAAAAAAACATGGATGTGGATTTATCTCACAGAATCACTGATATTTACCATGGTCAGTCTACCTCCTACTTGCTTCTGAAATTTTTACATATCATTTTAATTTCGCATATTGTTATGTTTTTTTCTCTATATTTAGGTCAGGGTCTACAGGGGCTCACTATGTAGATTGCTCTCATATTGATTCTGCTGTTTACAGCTTCCAAAGCACTGGGATGATAGGCGAGGGCCACCATGTCGAGGCGAGGCTCAATAACCCTTTCAGCGGGACCCACTGTGGGGCCATCATGGCATGCAGAGGATCGAACCCCAGCCCCTTTACTCTGCTGAAGCAGGTGCTTTAGTTAGCTTGAGCTATCAGGTCAGCCCCTTGCATGTCAATTTTACTGACTGTGATTTCCACTTCACCCCTCACACAAATAGCAATTGCTGACAGTAATGTCATCTTTGAATGAGAAGGGTAAAGGTGAGACAATGTTTTAATAATTAATTTATTTTGTACTGGCTCTGAGGTGGGTTTAGTAGGAATGATACAATTTAATGTCTAATACATAAAAATTAGTTTATTTTATCACAATGAAGTTAGTTTTTGCTAAAGTTAACCTCTACTTATAAAAAAATATTTTAATATGATTCTTTTCAAAGTGGTAACTTCTACCAGAAAATAAGTTCAATATATATTATATAATTGTGGGTTTGATACAGTAGGCTACTGAGTTCAAATCATTGGCAATAATATCTGGTATGTAACATATATATCACTCTGTCTATGTGTGGAAAACTAACATCATTTTTTGGAAAGAAAGATAGACTTAGGCTATTCACATTCACCAGTTAGAGAAGGTAATGGATCAATCTGTATAATACCCTATCTATCTATCTATCTATCTATCTATCTATCTATCCATCTATCTATCTATCTATCTATCTGTTTTTTTAATAAATTGGCTGTCTTGCTTGAAGAACTGATATGATGAAAAACAAAGAAACATTTCATTTCATGAAAGTAATTATTCTGAAATGAAATTAGTTTTATTCACATTCAGTAGAAAACTCCCCTTAGTAGCATCTCATTTTGGGGGGAGCTGAGGAGGAGAAAGGAACATAAGGAACCTCAAAGTAAGTTGGCTTCCATCTCTGTGTGAGTGAAATTTTAAAATGTATTATT